CACTGAACCTGGTGTTTCAAGTACTCACTGAACCCACCCTCATGCTCCGCTCCTATCTTTTCATAGGAAAGCAAGATGTCAGTCCAAATGTTCCACCTTGGTCTCTACAAATGTCTGGAAGCATTTATAGTGGTCCAACAGACATGGTCCAGTAGAGGTTCAACAGACGTGGCTGGATGACACTTTAGCACTCAGACCCTGTGGCAGTGCTTGGGGGCCACACCTGAGCAAGTTTCCATGAAACCAAGTAATATGAGGGCTGAAACATGGATTCGACAAGTGGTGGCCACATTTGAAGCCTGACCTTAACCCCTCGACTGTCTCCCCTGCTTGGTCAATGACTTTAAAGCCCCAAACAACCACCCATCACCACCTCAGATCACATTCAAGACCGGGATGAGCTGGGGGAGAGTCTCCGCTCTTACTCAGTCCTTGGGTCCTGCAGGGTACAGGGAGTCCTTTGACCTTGAGCAAGGCTACTCAGCTCTGAATGCTGTGTCCAGCTCTGCTAGTCTCTCCTTACAGTGCTGTCTCTCTCTCCATGAGAGTCTCAAGACTGAGAGAGAGAGAGAGAGAGAGAGAGTCTGGAAGATTTCTGGTTTCTCTCTTTTCTCCAGCCCATCACAAGGGTTACTGGAGAGCAATTCATGGCTCAGTGTTCAGACATCATCCCTGACAGTGCTCAGGGTGGGGATCAGACCTGGAGCTTGCCCTGTGCAAAGCATGTGCTCTCTCTGTCCAGCCCTCCCGGTTGTTCTGTCCAGGCCTCTCGGCTGCCTCACTGGCCTATTTGCCATGTCAGAGCAAGTCAATTATGGTCTTGGGCCAGCAGCAGCAACAGCAGCTGGGAGGTTCTTAAAAATGCATATTCCCAGGCCCTTTGAGGGTTGGTGCAGTGGGGTGGAGAGGCAAGCATGCGGATTCTAGCAAGTTCCCAGCTGAGGCTGATGTGCACACACATCTGACAGGCACTCCTGGGTGTGTCTGTGGGGGAGTTGGCCCTACATACACACCTCCCCCATGTTCTCACCAGTCTCATTCCTGGTTCCAGACCCCTTAGATTTCATTTGTACTACCGTGTCTATGCACCCAGACCACATAAAGACAGATCACATTATCCAAGGGCATTTTAAAAATGCATGAACTCCAATAGGCTATATTGGACAGGCTCTTTGGATCAGAAACAAAAAAAAGAGATATATTATCAGGAAAGGTAGAAAAACATTACTTTTGTAAATCCTATGTAATTGAATAAGATGCCTGAATATGGAGAAATAAGGAGAAACATTGTGGTAATCTTCAACTTCAAATGTGGAAGCCATGGGGTTGAGCAATGGTATAGTGGTGAGACGGCTCGTCTGGAACGGAGCCAATTCAATCCCCAGCATTACTCACCATGAGTGATCCCTGGGCCTCCTCCACCCCACGAAAAAATGTGGAATACAAAATTCTACACAGGACTTGCCTTTTATATATCTGAAAAAAGATGCACCAAAATACTAGCAATCCACCTTCTTTGTGTGCTAAACACAAATGATGTTGCTCCTCCCTGGTGACTGGCTTCTGCTCTTCACAGCCAGGGTATCCCTTGGCAGGGGGGCAGACATGGATGCAGGGGTAGGTTCTGCCATGCTGGACCAGCTGGAAAACCTTTACAGCACTCTGCACAGTTTTTCTCTGACTGTTTGATATTCTCCAAGCTTCAAGCAGGGTTGAGTGCCTCCTGGCACTGTTGCTAGCAGACAGGCCGTGGTTGTTCTCTTACTAGGCTATACCCTTTCAGTCCACCCAACTGTTTAAGGAGAGATCCAGGGGACCAGAGTATAGTACAGCGTGGAGGGCGTTTACCTTGCATGTGGCTGACCCAGGTTTGAACCCCAGCATCCCCTATAGTCCCCGGAGCCCTGCCAGGAGTGATCCCTGAGTGCAGAGCCAGGAATAAGCTCTGAGCATTTCCGGTTGTGGCCCCAAACCCAAACCCTAGATGATGGTACCCAGGTGAGCCATCTGCTCTGGCATGCTGGATCACAGTGATGGGGGTGAGGGACCGGGTGAGGAATATTGGTGAGGAACACTGGGTAGGGTTTCTCAGACTTGCAGAGGAATGCAACTCATGCTAAAGCACCAACAGGCAGAGATGGCCCTTGCCCTGTTGGAAGGCCCCGCGGTCCACCCACACCTGTTTGTTCCATACAAACAGTCCAGCCCACCCCACCCCCCTTGAACAGACTCTCACGGTGAGACCCTTCCCTGAGACAAAGAAGGAAGGCCCAGTTTCTGGGCCTGGACCCTTGGAACCTTCTCTGGATGTGGGTGGCCCAAGTCCCCGCTCCGTTGGAAGGCCCAGTGCCCCACCTGTACCTGCTTCCACTGCGATAAAAGTCTGCCTGAGATGTCAGGTGCTGAAGCATTACTGCCCCACTGCTTCTGGAGTGTGCAGCCACACATGCAGCCGTAAGACCCCTCCCAATTTCACGGAACTGACAGCCAGTAGAAACACAGATCATTTGATGGGGAAGTTATGTAGAACTCTACGAAGCTCCATAAGTGAAAACAGTAACACAGTTAGCTCAACTAGCACCTAGCCGCTCAATAAATCCTTGGACAGTGGCTTCAGCAATAACATCATTACCAGATGTGTGCCGTAACAAGGAAGATAGAGGAAATTGCCTGCTAGGGGACAGATTTGGGCAGTGGGTGAGGAAGTGGGGACATTGGTGAAGAATATTGAATACCTGAAAGACTGCGTTATGAACAGATTTGTAAATCAGGGGTTTACATAAAGTCTCAAATGTGAAAGAAAATGCAGGGATCTCCCTCTCTAGGGAGCACATCAACTGGTATCATCCAACAGAGAAATGGTTTGGCACCGTGAGTTACCTGGCATGTTCATCCCTAATTCAAAGCAAAGAAGTCTCTCTCTTCTTCTCTCCCTCTCCCCTCCCGTCTCTCTCTTCCCCACCCTGCACCTCTCAGTGCATGATAAGACATTCCCGACATTCCATACACCAAGTCTTGTAAAGGAAAGACCGGAAAGATGGCCAGAGGCCCCCAGATAGTGGTGTGGATCAATTTGCTGGGGTAGAGTTCTGGGAAATGTTCCAAACTTGGGGTTAAACGAACTACATCAAAGACAAACAGAAACAAGGTACAAGGGAGTGGCTTGGGGGCGGGGGATGAAAAGCCAAGTGCCATTAGAACATTCCATGACCTAGGAAAATAAGCCAAAATGCATGTTGTTTAGGTGGGTATATATACATGTGATATGGAAAAAACAGCAAGGGAAGGAAAACTCCAAACTTCTCACAGGAGAAAGCAGAAAAAACCGTGAGTGTGAGGGTTAGAGAGATGGTAGAGCATGTAGGTTGCTTGCCTTAAACACAGCCAATCCGAATTAGATGCCCAATTAACCATATGGTCCCATGAGCCTGCCAGGAGTAATTACTGAGCACAGGGTCAGTAATAATCCCTGAGCACCACCAGGGGTGGCCCCAAAATCACAACAGCAACCAAAAGAACAGTAATTGTGGGCAGGGGTAGGGGGACACAGGGGTAGGGAGTGATTGAGAATCTCCTGATTCTGGGCTTCAGTGGAATTCAGCGAGATCACTCCATAGCCCCAATTCTCAGCACTTCAGTGTTGGGACCTCCCGGGATATGCCTGGAGATGCTATACCGGGATTGGCCACATGCAAGGAACATGTCTTAACCCCTGGACCATCTCTGGTTTCCAAAGGTGGAATTTTGGTTTTGTTTTGCTTTGTTTTGCAGTCACACCTAGCTGTGCTCAGAGTTTACTCCTGGCTCTGTGTTGTGAGATCATGGGTCTCAGGGGAACAAATACAGTACCAGGGATCGACCCCAGCTCAACTGAATGCAAGGCAAGTGCCTTCCCTTCTGGATTATCTCTGGATGTGACGCCGCATCCCAGAAGCTGTGATAGTCATCTCTGGACAGGGAAGGTTGGGAACTCGCTGACACGGATGGTTCTGGGATATCATTTCTTACCCAGAGCCTTGCACAGAACCAAAGCAAAAGAAACAGAAGCTTCCAAAGAGTCGGTGACCTTCCCGATGCTTTACATTGAGTGTGAAGTTAGTGTGGCCCTCGATTGTTTTCTCCATCCTAAGAACATTACAACTTTATCTTTTGCACTTGACATTACACATACATCGTTGCCAAGAGGGGACAGGAACAGTTTCTGGTTTCCTCCAGTGATGCTGTTTTTCTGGTTAAGTTGTGAGTCTGGGGCTGAAGCAAAGTGTTCCTTTGCATGAAAGCACTAGCAGCATTAGAGTGGGGACTCCTCCCACGCCCTCACCTCTGGGGGCCAGAGGTTTTATCTGACAGACTTGCTGGCTTTCAACTTTCTCTTTCCTTTCTGCGAAACTGTTGTCGCTATTAATTTCCCAAAGAGAGCTGAGAGGCCCCCTCTGAGAACTGTTTAGGTTCCTAGAAAAGAAAAATAACCATTTCCCCCAAAATTTACACTACAAATTACATCTCCAACCCCACAGGAAAGACTATTTTTCCATTCAAATTACATCAACTCCTTTCCAGAAATACATTTAAACTCCAGCTTTCTATTCAGTTTAAAACAAAAAAAAAAGGTTGGTGCGGGGGAACTTTCCAAAACAAATCAGGGAGAGACTTTGCATAAATACAGCCTTATGATATCCTCCTCCACCCCATACTTAATAGACATTCTGGGGAAGAAAGTGGAGGCTTTCTAGTGATGTTGGAATTATATGCACGAGAAACCATCATTAGCAGAACTGAAAACCCACAGAACTTCAATTCATTAAGAAAGTGAAACATTGTATAACTGAAACCCAAGCACAAAATTTGTAAGCCTATAACTGTACCTCATGGTTTTTCACTAATAAAAAAAGAAAAAAAAGTGAAACAAAAATAAACAGATATATTCTGATACATGCTGAAATATTGGATATAGTAGCCACACAGTTGGATAACAAATCTATCACAGAAAAGTTATCTGTATACTTAGCCAGTAGGAGAGATACCATGATCAGGAAGGCGGTTCACCCAGGGCGAGGCTTCTCCATTACACTCAGGTAGGCTGAGCTCTGTGATTTCCGCCAAATGTGGGAAACTTGACTGCAAAATTTGTGGTAGTGGCAGGCAGCATTCACGCTTTCCCCTAAAAAAAATATAAAGAAGCTATCTAATACCTGGAGACAACTGACTAATGTGCAATGATAATGTTCATCATATATAATAGGCTTTTTAGTTTGTGTTGTGGAGTCATTTGGGTGGAGGCTGGGGAAACACTTGGCAATGCTCAAGGGTTACTCCCTGACTTTGAACTCAGGAAATACTCCTCTTGGTGCTTTGGGGACCATATGAGTTGCTGGGGATCAAACCCAGGTTGGCAAGGATGCAAAAAAGCACAGCAGAAATGACATCTGCCCCTGTATGTTTACTGCAGTGCTGTTCATGATGCCCAGAATCTGGAAACAACCCAAGTGCCTGAGAACAGAAGACTGGTTAAAGAAACTTTGGTACATCTACACAAAGGAATACTATGCAGCTGTTAGGAAAGATGAAGTCATAAAATTTGCTTATAAGTGGATGGTCTTGGAGAGTGTCATGCTAAGTGAAATGAGCCAGAAAGGGAGGAACAGACAAGAATGACTGCACTCACTTGTAGAATATGAAATAACATGAGACTGACACACAAGGATAGTAGAGACAAGAGCCAGGAGGATTGCTTCACGGTTAGAAGCCTGTCTCATGAGCTGGAGGAGAAGGCAGCTAGAATAGAGAAGGGATAACTAAGTCAATGATGGTTGGAGGAATCGTTCAGGATGGGAGATGTGTGCTGAAAGTAGATAAAGGACCAAACATGATGGCCTCTCAGTATCTGCATTGCAAACCATAATGCCCGAAAGTAGAGAGAGAATATGGGGAAATTGTCTGCCATTGAGGCAGGGAGAGAGGTGGGAGGGGAAATACTGGGGACATTGGTGGTGGAAAATGTACACTGGTGGAAGCATGGGTGTTCAATCATTGTATGACTGAAACTCAAACATGAAAGCTTTGTGACTGTATCTCACGGTGATTCAATTTAAAAAAAAAACAGGTTGGCCGTGTGCAAGGTGAATGCTTTCCCCGCTGTTCTATCACTCCAGCCCTTTTGTTGTTTGTGTTTGTTTTCTTTTTTTGCTTTTTTGGGATCACACCTGGCTCTGGACTCAGGAATCACTCCTGGCGGTGCCCAGGGGACCATATGGGATGTTGGAAATCGAACCCAGGTTGGCTGCGTGTGAGTCAAACCCCTACCCTCTGTGCTATCGCTCCAACCCCAGTAGTTTGTGTTTTTATAGTGCCTTACTTTGGTTAGATATGTTTGTCTGCGCACAGTGACATACACTTCTCAACATGATTTCAAATACATTAGCATATGAAGTAAGAAAACTCTTGGGGCCTGGGGATGTAGTCCCACGTGGCAGTGATCAGGAGTTACTCCTGACTTTGTGCTCAAAAATGACTCTTGGTAGTGCTTGGGGGTCATATGTGGTACTGGGGATGGAATAAATCAAGGTAAGTGCCTCACCACCGTATTATGCAGCATCAAGAAAACCACTTCCCAAGCAAGAATAGAGCCACCTGCAGTTTGTCTACTACTTTATTAATTTATTCTGCTTTGGACGCCATGGACTGGGAGCTCCCCAGGTACAACTCCAGACAAGGCACTTGGGCACTACTGGAGGGAACTTTCTATGCCATGGTGCCAAGGACTGAGGGTCCAGCCAGGACTCCCATGTGCAAAGCACATGCTCCAGCCCCGAGCCCTTTCCTTCCCCAACCCCCACCCCTCACCACCTTCCCTGACCCCCTCACTTTTATCTATGACTAACACAATAGCTGAGCATTACATTAAATTTGGGCTGGAGCGATAGCACAGCGGGTAGGGCGTTCGCCTTACAAGCGGCCAACATGGCCGACCTGAGTTCAATTCCTCCGCCCCTCTCGGAGAGCCCTGCAAGCTACCGAGAGTATTAGATATGCCAGACACAGTAACAACAAAGTCTCCAATGGAGACGTTACTGGGCCCGCTCGAGCAAATCGACGATCAACGGGAGGGCCTTTACCTTTACCTTTACCTTACATTAAATTTATGGGGGTAAATATTCTCACCCACTTCAAATATGTTTGTTCTCCTAGAATGAGAACTATCATTCATGTTAGTAGAGTGGTATCAAATCAGCAATCTGATCAGGTGCTAGAGATATGCTGAGTACAGCAACTATGATGCTTGCCTTGCATGCAACTGACTTAAGAGTTCCATCTCTGGCACCCCAGATGGTCCCCCAAGAACCACCAGGAATGATTCCTGAGCACAGAGCCAGGAGTAAGCCTGAACACTGCCAGGTGTGGCTTCTAAACAAAAGAAAACAGATAATCTGGTGCAAAAGAAAAGTTTGGGGGAACTACTTAGGGGGGTGCTAAAGTACATGTTAATGATAACAGTTTCTTTTAATTGGTGGGGGGCCTCACTGTGCATGTTCAGGGCTTACTCTGACTCTGTGCTCAGGGATCACTGCAGGTGAGTTCAGATTCGGGGCACCATATGGGATGCCCAGAATGAACTAAGGTCGGCGATATACAAGGCAATCGCAATGACCACTGTATTAGCCCTTGGGTCCCAATGAGGACAGTTTCTTTAGGACACTGACAAAGAGGCTCTGGATTAGCCAAAGGTGAGTCCAGCACTTGAGGTGGAAGAGACTGGTGTGAGGATGGGGGAGAGCAAGGGCTATTAACTGCACAGTGAGACAAGTTTATGGGGCCTGGGGTGTTTGAGTCACCGGGTGTCACACTGACCCCCTCACGGTGGCTGTGGGAGAGACACCACCTATGTTCGCCTGAGCATAAAAGAATCATGTGTGTGTGTTTCTGGGCTAGGCTGCCTCAGTGCTAGCTCAGTGTCCCGACAGCCACACTTGGAGAAGGCCCAGTGCTGTGTGCTGGCTTGAGTCTCTGGAATGCAGTACCTTACTGGACCAAGACCACAACTTCCTGCTATTTGTAAGCCTAGGCCCCTCAAAGACCAATACAGTACACACAGTCCTTTGCTTCCAGACCCTAAAACAACCAACAATCCTTTGCTTCCAGACCCCAGAAACCACACACAGCCCTTCTAGACCCCAGAACCACCAAGTCATTTGCTTCTAGACACTAGGAACTAACCACAGTACTTTGATCTCAGGCCCTAGAAACTTCCCACAGTCCTTTGCTTCCAAATCCTAGAAATTTTCCATAGTCCTTTGCACACAGACCCTAGAAACTACCCACAGTCCTTTGTTTCCACTCTAGAAAATACCCACAGTTCTTTGCCGAACACCCCCAAAACAACCCAAATCCTTTGCTTTCAGATGCTAGAAACCACCCAAAGGCCATTATTTTAAGACCCAGAAACCACCCACAGTTCTTTGGTTTCAGACCCTAGAAACCACCAACATCACTTTGCTTCCAGACTCTAAAACTTCCCATAGACCTTTGCTTACAGACTCTAGAATTTTCCTACAGTCCTTTGCTTCAAGACCAGAGAAACAAACCCCATTCCTTTACTTCAAACTCTAGAAACTACACAAAGACTCTCCTTCCTGATCTTAGGAAATATCCCACAGTCCTTCAAATCCAGATGCGAAAAACTTTCCGTGGTCCCATGGTTTCAGACAACAGAAACTACTCCAGACATTAGCTCCCAGACCTTACAAACTACTCAAAGTCCTTTGCTTTCAGACCCGATAAACTACCCACAATCCTTTGCTTCCAGATCCTAGAAAATACAGTCCAATACTTCCAGAATTTAGAAACTACCCACATCCTTTACTTACAGACCTTAGAAACTACCCAAAGTCCTTTGCGTCCACACCCCAGAAACCACACACAGCTCTTTAGTTCTAGACCCCAGAAACAACCTGCAGTCCTTTATTTCTATACCCTAGAAACTACACATAGTCCTTCAATTTCATACCCCAGAAACCACCCAGAGTTTTGATTCCAGACCTACAAATTACCCAGAGTCCTTTGCTTCCTGACATTAGAAACTTCCTACAATCCATTGCTTTGAGTTCCTAGAAACATTTACCATTCCTTTGCTTCCAGACCCTAGAAATTGCCCACAATCCTTTGCTTCCAGACCTCAGAAATTACCAGAATCCCTTATTCCATGCTCCCAAACCTCCCACACCCTTTGTTTCCATACCCTAGAAATTACCCACAATCCTTTGCTCACAGATTCTAGAACTGCCAACAGACGTTACTTCCTGATCTTAGAAAGTTCCCATACCCTGTGTTTCCAGAATCTAGAAATTACCCAAACTACATTGCTTCCAGACCAAAGAAAATACCCAGTCTTTTGTTTCCAAGCCTAGAAAAAATCCACAGTCCTTTCCTTCTAGAACTAAAACTACACACAATCCTAAACTTATATCCTAGAAACATCCACAGTCCTTCGCTTCCAGACCCCATAAACTATCCACAGTTCTTTAGATTAAGTTCTAGAAACTACCCACAATTATTTGTCTACAGACACTAGAAACTACACACAGTCCTATTGGTACATGAGTGGTGGTACAGCCCATGGATAATCGCACAGTCCCATATTTGAGTATAGCTTAGTATTGATGCTACAGTCCTGTGTGACAGTAGAGGCCAGGCGTGGCAGTACAGCCCAATATCTGGTGGTAGTCACCATGTGAAGTGGTACAGCCTATGGGTAATGGTTCAGTCCCATGTGTGGTGGTACAGCCCAAAGGTGATGGTACTGTCCTGTGTTTTGGTACAGCCCACGGATAATGTTACAGTCCCATTTGTGGATAAAGACCAGATGTGATGCTATAGTCCTTGTGTAGGGGTAGAGCCCAGCAGTGATGGTACAGCCCTGTTTCTGGCAGTACTCCCCACCCTGTGACATAGTACAGCCCACGGATAATGGTTCAGTCCCGTGTGTGGTGGTATAACCCATGGAAAATGGTCCAGTCCGACGTGTGGGTGAGGACCAGTAGTGATGGTACAGTTCTTGTGTGGTGGTAGAGCCCTCGCCTGATGATGCTGCCTCGTGTCTGGTGGTACCCCCGTGTGAAGTGGTACAGCCCAGGGGTAATGGTACAGTTCCACGTGTGATGGTACAGT